CCGGTGCCGTCCCGTCCAGGTCGTCGGACGACGGCAATCAGACTATAAACTTATAAATGTTGCAGACGCTTTTGCGGAGGCAGCCATACATATAGTAATTATAGCTATGGGCTATATTTGCGAACAAACTGAAGAGTTCGAGCCCAGTCGAGTCGACAGTCGGCTTTTGGGGGGGGGGCTGGCAGAAGCATCAGAAAAACCAGAAAGTTTCAGCGGAGTTTGTCGCTGGTTTGCTGTTCCAAACAAAGGACAGATAGAGCTGATAGAGTTGATGAAGAAGTAAGCCGAAAGGGTTCCGAGAGTCAGAGAAGTCGGAGCCGAGAGTGGGATGGAAACCGTTTATTAAGTCAGGCACTTTAAATTAAAGCATCTCTTTTCCTGCTAAATCATATCCCCAAATAAACGGGAGCCAAACGCAGTGAGGAATGCCATTTCCCATCCATTTTAGTTTAGTCTTTTTTAACATTGCCATGGGAAGTGTTGAAGTGCAAAGCCTGAGCCAGGAAATCATCGAATGATTGATATTATGAGAAAGAATCTTAATTGCCACAATTATATGTTTAACTTGGGAGATATTAGATGTTCCTGCTGGGGTTCATACTCGATGATTGCCTTGGCCTTTCAATCCAATATAATCTGCCTATAAATCTCTAGGCCACGCATTTAATTGCCCGCAACGAACAATTTCGTGGGCATTCCAGTCGCTTTTCATCAATAAGACCCGATAGACCCAGTCATATATCATCATCGACCGTCGCTGTGGCCGCCGCCGCAAGTGACGAATGCCAGCTCCTAAATAAATGACTCTGCGGTCGGAATGGAAATGAATTATGAAATATTTGCAGAGTTGGACTAATGAGGCAGCGTCAAGGCGAAAGCCAGAGCCCGAGTAAGAGCCAGAGTAAGAGTAGCTGTCACATTAGCACCTTCCTAGCGCGATGTAGACCCCAGATAAGCTAACGACAGCCCGGTCTGACCCCGGCTAACCCCTGTGGAGGAGAGTGGACAGGGACAGGGACAGGAACAGGGACAGGGCCGAAGCCAGCCCGGAGCGCCCTGAGCACACTTTTATTTTTCACAAATGGCACAAAAAACACTGACTGACAGGTATGGGGAGGGGGGTACCAGGGGGTAAATGATGTGATAAGGAGGAATATACACATTCGCATGTACAAATAAATCCACAAGTTGATGCTATTCTTGGGGCCGTCAAAAAAGGTCAAAAGCGCCCGGGGACATCATAAGAGAAGGCTCCAGCGACGGCAAAACAATAACTGCAGGCAATTTCGGCTCTCGCAACTGTTTATTTGTCAAAGATTTTTCTCTTTTTGACATCTCGACTTCCAGCGGCGCGACCCGAACTGGAAAAGGAATCGAAACACGCGCCGCCTTTTCTTTGGGTCTCCGTCAGGTCCCGTCGCGTCCGGTCTGGTCCGGTCCGGTCCGGCTAAAAATGGGCAACCAACTGCGACAAGTGGGGATTCCTTTTCTTTGGGGCTGCTGCTGTCTCCGGGAGAGATGTCCGAAAATTGTTATCGATGTTTTTGTCATGTTTGCCTCAAATTAAAATCCCCAATAAACGGGGAAAACTGTCAGTTCGGCTCACCAATGTATTATTGTGTCCTGCTCCTGCATGCTAAGCAGGCAGGAATTGGGCCCTGTTCTCAGGGTCCTGGGCATCGCTTTTAATTGGCTCCCATGTTTTTGGACTGGAAAAGCCAAAGGCCCAGAAAATTTAAGATCAAACGTAAGCCAACCGACATCGAAGCCAATTCCTCGCAGCGCCAGGAAATGCGAAAAGCATCTGCTACTCTGATCAAACGTCAAATGACAAATGATTTCCCCTGGAAATCAATAAAAAAAATAACTTTTATGAGAGCATTAAAATATATGTGACTTAGCAAACTTTTGAGCTGCCTTCGACGCATAATTAATTTATCTTATTTTGTGTTAATTTGTTTTGCACAAAAACAGACCATAATCCTCCCCTGCAACTCAATGAATGATTCATTGGGCTCCTCCCCCCTGCTGTAAGAGCCGGGCTATGACCACCAATTGGATTATAGCCATAAGTAGACAAGAACAAAAACTTTGGCAGTTTCCCACCTCACACCAGTCGCGGATATCTTGACAAAGACAAAAAAAAATATATAAATTGCCTTCGAGATTGCAGCTTCATTTACTAATTTCACTGGCTATCTGCTAATCGAGCGCAAAATAAGCAAAAACAAACGGCAGGCGACGGCGCGGGCATGGGAATGGGGATTGGGGATGGCTGTCTGGAGAATGGCAAAGGCCAGATCGGGTGGCCAGCAGAGTTATCTCAGAGCCAGGCCCGGGTCCAGACCGAAACTTGGAACGTTAATTATGCGAGGCAAGCTCTGTGTCTACGCACTTCTAACCGAATCGGGCGGCGATGCACATTAATTAGTTTTTATGATTATTGGCGGGCATTGAAATACAATACGAGATGGCAGGATGGGAGGATGGCAGGCAGACAAATTTACATAAGTCAAGTCCCGGCAGCGGCAGCGGCAGCAGCAGCAGCGGGCATATGTGTACGATGGTAGTGGAATTTGTCAATTTCTAATACCGGTTTATCGTACGGGGGCTTATTTACGGGCTCGCTCCGAGCGGAAGAAAACGACACGAGTCGTGGAGTTGGGGAAGCCTTTGGCTTTAGACGACAGCTGGCTGGTTCTCACAGACAATATGGCAAGGATGGGGCCCATAAATATGCAGAAGCTTGTTGTGTTGCCGGCAAATCCATTTGGCTAAATAAATGCCATGACTGACATAAATAAAGCACAATTAAATTAAGATAATCGTTCTGACTTTGCTGGCTACGCTCCGCCTCGTACGAAAATGAATTGTGCTCCTCCCAAGCCATCGCCGATCCACAATCCCCAATACCCCCAATCCCCCATTCACAATAGTTGGAACCGTAGGGGGGGCCTGCCTAATGTGTTCTCTCTCCCACACACTCGTAAACATAAAATCCACCCAGCAGCTTTAAATGCGCTACAAATTAATGGCAATCTTCCAGTCTGGCTGCCGATTCGGCCAAATCCAGCATCATCCCCGCCTAAGCTCCACTCTGCGACAATTGCCATGCACTTTGATTTGGCTTTGATTTTTGCTTAATTACTCTCGCCAGCCACTGTAGAATGCCAGCAGCCAATGCTGCTGTTGTGTCCCACTGTTGTGGCAGCCACTTCTGTTTGACTGTTTATTGCCCCCTTCGCTGTGGGTATGTGATAGGAAATTAAGAGTAGCATCACCATAAAATTCAGCTATGCATGGTTCTGGCTTTGGCTTTGGCTCCGGTCTCTGTCTCTGTCTCTCGGTCTGTCACTGGCTCGATTGCCACAGCAACCGCAGAAAAAATGCTCAACGAGAACCCGAAGCCGAATAAAATCTAATTACGTCAGACAGAGCTGGAGCTAGAGATTAATGTTTAACTTCCGCCAAGATAAAATTTGATTCATGCTTTTTGTGTTTTTGTTGTGTTTTCATTGTAGAAATTTAGCAAGAAGTGAAAGATAAATTACTTCTTTTCTTGCCCGTATTTGAAGAAGTGTTTCCCAATTAAAAGGGAATTTCTCCACATGTAATAGGTGCCCAAAAAAGAGACTTTAGACAGTTGACAATGTGGATTCCTATGTAGATTTTTCTTCTTTCTATTAAAGAGCTTCTTTCGAGACATAAACTCTGTGAACGCCAACATTAGAAATCGAAGACAGTGGAGGGAAAAGCACAGCCTCACTTTGAATAATAAATAAATGATCCATCAACTTCGTCGTTTCCAGTTTAAAGGTGATATGCTATCGCCCAGAAACAACACTTTCCGTGATTCGAAAGTGAAAAATATTCAAATAATTTTCACTTTATAAGAAGACAAAACATCGCAGTGACCTGCATATAAATTTCCCGTCGGCAGGGAGGCGGGGAAAAGTCTCAATCGACATTAGGCTCACACAAAATGAAAACATAATTCAGCTAAATAGATTTGCATAAAACATGGCGTTGCAGTCAAATAAATTTTCCCCTAGCCGAGAGCCGGGCGCAGATAACTCAATAATTTATATGCTTAACAAATGTAGATACAACGGCTGTGTTTATGTCCGAGGTAATTAATAAGAGCCGTGTTTCTGTTTGCCACTCGGTTACAATGCATTTGCCACACTCGGTTCGGCTGCTGGATACACATACCATATACATATACATATACATATGTTTAGATAGTTGCAACTGCACTTCACGCTGGCTGACATTTGGTATATCATGATTTGGCAAACGGGGCGCAACACCTTGTCGCCTCGCAGTTTCTGGTTCTGGCTGCTGTCTGAACTTTCGAATCTGACGTGCCGCAGTGCCACAAATTCGTATACAGCCGACACCTAAACGCTCTAGCACACACTTGCACGTCGCAGGGAGTCTTGTGTGGGTCACCAGTTCAGCATGTGACTTTGGTGGGGCAACTGGTTTGGTTAGGCTCCGATTTTGTACGAGTATTTCTCACTTTAAGGGGGCCCCATGGCCCATGGCCGATGGCCGATGCAGTCGCCAGTTATCTACATAATTAATGCATGTCTCGGGCCACACGAAACATGCAAACGACTGACATATTGACCCAATATCTAGGCAAAGGGCTTGACATTTGTGGAAACCCAGCTCGAAGAAAAGTCCCAAATACAAAACGCTAAACAACCGACCAACTGGGAACTGGGAACAAAACAACCAGCCAACGGAGCCGCAACATCGCGTGCCAAAAAGCCACAGACAGCGCTTTACTCGAATATTTATGCCCCTCTGCAAGCCAGCCAAATAATTAAAACGAACGAAAAACGGAGCTGCCAGAGGAGAAGAGACCCCAATAATTATGAACAGATATAATTCGTGGTGGCCCATCCGCGTCGAGTCACTGTGAAATGACAGAGATAGACAGAGACGGTCACAGACGCAGTCGCAGTCGGACTGGAAATACTTTCAAGCTGTGATTAATGATGGGTCGTGCAGATTCGAACAGAAATATATTTGTTTTAAATTTGTTATTCATTTATGTAAGCGAGCGGAGCGGCAGAGGAATACGACGAGTGTTACGTGGATTGCGGCTATAGAGTTTCGCCAGGAGAAGTTTCCTCTTCCTTTAGACATCTTCTGAGCCGCCTCCCACTTGCATTTGGGTCTCGTATCATCGCCATCATACTGAAGGGAATTATCAAAGCCCACACTAAAATCAGAATCAGAAATCAGCATGGAATCATAAATAATTCCAAACAAAATCTTCTACTTTTATTATATTGAAGAATTTATGGCATCCGAGAGGAACACAATTGATAATTGCTGTCGTCTGCTCTTTCTTTATTTTTATTCTATTCTCTGCTCTGTTCTTTTCTTTTTCTTTTGAGTTTCCTCAGCGAACTGGGAGAGCAATTAAAACGGTTCCATCAACATTTTCCCTAACGCTTTTTCCATCTCATCGCTTTTTATGATTTTGATTACGATTTCGGCGCCTCCCCGAACGACTGGCGTGGTTTAATCTTACCTCCATAAAAAATAAAGCATATTCCAAAGGGCCAAACTAAAAAACTCAATTTCAATTCGAAATCAATTTTTCAACAGAGTTGTTGGCCCGGCCCAGCCTTTGTGACACCTCAATAAAAATCAGAAATGTTGCCCTCTACCCACCGGGGAGGAAGCCGAACTTCATTCCAGTCCACTCCACTTCCCAAACGATCCGAGCCTCTGTTCAGTGTAGCTGGCGCCATTGGATGTGGATCCGCCAAGATGGGGCATGCATAAGTTAGGAGGAGATGGGTTAACAAAAAAACCACCAAATTGAAACAGAATTGACCCCCCGTGGTAGAAAAATTAAAATTTTATTTGTTTAGCAAGCGGCGTGACAGCAACAACAATAACAAAAACCAGAATAATAAACGGAGACAGGTACGGTACTCGGCGACCGACCCCGACAAATATTAATCAAATTCGTAATACAAACAGCACGACAAACAATATAACACTCTCGAAAGGTCCCTGAGCGCAAATCCAATTAATAAAATCAACATTGTTTGTATCTGCATCTGTGTATCAGTGTATCTGTTTCTGTTTCTGTATCTGTTTCGGCTATTCGGTTTCGTTCGCAGCTCGGATTTAAATATCACAAGTGGAAATCAGTTGCCCACGCTGAGAACGCACAGTTGACTACAGATTCTGTCCATTAATTCATTAAATTATGCTTTATGTAGTCCACACATTTGAGTCGAAACGAGTCGATCTTTTTCGGTAGAGTATTGTTGGCTGTGTTCAAGTGACAAGATACGGAATATATCTATATATCTATAGATTGATATCAGTACCTACCACTGGTTATAGTCTCTGCCATTCTCGAATTTATAAAGAGTATGCAATATTTATTCTTTTGTTTGCTTATTCCTCTGATATGATTTGGCTTTTTCCATATACAGCTGGCTACCAAATTTGGTTTAAATTGTTATCGCTAATTTTTATGTATCGCCTAATTATTTAAATCATTAAGTCAAACCAATTTTTTAGTGTCACCGGCGAAATTAACAAAATTGAGCCGGAATTTTTGATTAATTAAAGGAAGAGGCAAGAGACATATGCCACAGCACACACACACACAACACACAAATACCTACGCTCACATAGATAAATACATGCACAGGGGCACACCCACACCTGTGCTCCGAACTGGGAGCTGAATTCGTTGGGCAAAGTCGAGCGTTGCGGGTTAATTACCATGTCAAATTCAAACAAAAACAACAAAAGCCAGGCCAAGTACCAACACCAACATCCAACATCGTGAAGAGGTAGTATATCATTATAGCAACAACAAGAACAAGAACAAAAGAACGGAGGAACGGAGGAACGGGAGGAACGGGGAACGGTAGTCAACAAAAATAATAGGCTGGCAAAAGGTTCAAGGCGGCAGTGCGTACACGAATATGGTGGTGGTGGTGGGGGGCAGCTGGGTTTGGGGAAGAGTGCTGGATAAATGGATGGGATCGAGGGTAGAGAGCAGAGAGGTGGGCCTAAGTAAAACCTTTTCTTATCATAATTACGCACAAAACGCAGTGGGGGAGGGGTAGGACAAGGCACAGGTAGTGCCTGCACCCCCGCCCCCATCCACGGTCTCATTTAATTGAGCAGTGCGTGGGCGCTGGAACACAGTGCCATTGAAGTAGGTAGCAAGGAATAGTGGGTATGCCGAACAGTAAATACCCTTCACATAGACAGCAACTTATTTTCACTGAGATGTACATATATCCGATCAAGAGGAATTTTGTCACATTGGTAGATATTAATATTAAATACGAGCCAGCTATACCGTGGCTCGGTTACTATAGGATGCCAGCATGCACCCCAGATTTCGATTAACCTTCCTGTTGCCTGTTGTGACATACATTTTATCGAATAAAATATACCCGTTTACATTAACGACTATACAGCGAGTAAAAAGTGAGAGAGCAAGATGGAAAGAGTGCCAAAAATACAGAGAGTAAGAGAAGATACAGAGAGAGAGCTACATACATACATATGTAAAACGTCACACAGCGACAAATGCAAATGCTCAATGGGATCGTCTTTGGGCAGGCACTCTGCTAAGAGGAACTCCAAACAGTAGGAGAGACAGACCGGGAAAAGAGAGTGACAGAGAGCGAAAGAGAGCTGCAGCTGTCCCTATTTTGTTGCCTCTGTAGGCGTGGCACACGCCCAACTAGACCTCGACCTCAGCCCACGCTTCGCTGGCGATTTGCGCACTTAACAGACATCCATTTATAACCGCCGTCCAGCCGTGCGGACAGGCGGCAGTCCTCATGCCTCATGCATGGACCTGGACCCACACCGCGCCCAAGACAGAGTGCGTAGTACATTATAATGAAATTATGCATACAAAACATCGCTCATATATCAAGCGGCAGCTCCACGACGACGACGACGCGTATTAAAATAATGACTTAATTTCGTTGTATGCATGAGGCCCACAGACATCAACATGAGGGCCCTGCACACATTCCTACAGCTACAGTGTGTACTGATCTGATCCCTAACCCATGCCCCACAACCCCGGGACACTAACAGTTGCATTTGACTTGGCGCGTTAATTGCCATTTGGCTCTCCAACTAAGCGTAGTGGGACATGGAGCCACGGCCTTATCAGGCAAACATATTCCAATATTATGCACGACAATTGGGCGCAGTGAATGGCGCATAATCTAGCTGCAAATACTACATAGCGTCATGATTGGTCGGACGGGGTGGCGAACAGGCAGACAGTTGGGCGGATGAATGGAATGGAATGGCGCAGTGATGGACAGCGAACAACCAATTTGATTCAGAGTTGTAGAGAGATGGCTCCATTCAACAGTGTTACAGAATGTGAGTCAGAATTGGTTGCCAAGCGAGACGACACCTTATTTCCTTGCGGTCAACCTGCTGTTTGCTGCTGCCCACGCCTCTGTCATACTTTTTCCCGACCAGTTGTCACATTTAGTGTGCTTGACCCATTTCATCACTATCATTCAGTGTGCTCATTGTCATTGTCTCTGCTCATTTCTCAAAATTTATCCAGCCAGTCAGACAGTCCAGTCGTTCCTTCTTCATATTCTACTTGGGAGTTTTTATTTCGAGCTGAACATCAGCTTCAGCTTCAGCTTCGGGCTCGGCTTCGCCACACTCAACAGACAGCTGTCATAATTAATTTTGACGGTTTGTGGTAATTAAATATTCTCGAGCAGGTTCTTTAAGTACCAGACAATAGTCGTCGGGTGGCCGTGGCCTCCATCTCCATTTATTCCCTTCGCTCGTCTGGTCTTGCTCGTCTTGAATTTCGGGCCAATGCCAGCTTTGATTAGCCGTTTGAAGTGCTGCCTGATGAAGGAGCCCAGCAGGAGGAGAGAGACCTAGCCCCTCATTACGGTGGGCTCCCCGCTCCAATTCCATCGAAGTGAAAAAGCTTATCGGCAACAACTCAATAATCACACAGAAACCCAACCGAAGGAACCAACGCAACCCAATTTGGCCACCCATCAGTCAAAGGTGCTTAGACCGAAATTGAAATTACAGACGAGCGTCCGGTTGCGGCTCCTTTTTCCTTGTGGCCAGCCCACAAAGTGAGTTTTACTTAAAGACCACACCGGGATGGGGGTGTACAGTACGGTGTGTGGGTCCATGTGGGTCGAGTGGCAACATCAACTAACCGCATTGCATTGTTTTCGAAGGGCCAGCGTTCATATGCACGCGGCCGGAAACGACCTTGGCACGTTATCGTTGGGTTTTCATCACTTTCATATTCATACTCGTACCATTTTCGAACCGGACGGACCGTCTCCGTCTCCGACTCCGACTCCGTGCTCAGGCATGCATACACAGTTGCGGAAGGAGGGAGGAGAATGAGAATGAGGACTGTGGGAGTATGTCGGTATGTCGGCATGTCAGCTGTGGACTGTGGACTGTGCCCTGTCCAGGACATTGTGGGCCAGCAGTGGCCAGCAGACTTCCCTTACAGAGCAGAGGCCAGTGCTGACCAAACGCAACCACCGGGTATCTGTGTCAGAAAATCTCCACTGCCCAAACATACGTATGAGTTTTCTTTGTTGCGAGGAACAGTTTTAATGGCCCCGCTCTGACCTGATGGCGGCACGATAGGATAGGGATATCGTTCAGGTGGTGGTGGATGTGGATGTGGAGGTGGAGTTGGAGGTGTTGAAGTTGAGGGCACACAATCCACCTGAAATGTGCTCGAATTTCATATTTTGCCTTGACCAGTGGCAACATTGACTCGGGGGGTATTGGGGTAGGTGTTGAATCGCACTTTAAGGTAACACGATAGTACTTTCATCGAGTCGATGAAAGTACAGACATATCATGTTGCATCTCAGAACTTTGCTTCATTGAAACTCTCTGCAAAAGGGAACTCAACAGCTGCAAAGGTGCGTTCCCAATCGATCTCAATTATAATAGGCGCTCTACAACGATACCACAATTAAAATGTCATTAATTTCGGTGTGTTTCGGAACCAGTGCTGTGCGTTGTGGCGGTTCAGTCGAACAAGACCACCACGACATAGACGGGACTCTCCTGTTGCCCAGCCCCAAACAACCAAGCATGTGTTCCCATAGCTCCCTTAGAGCCATTTCATGCGTACCTGTAGCTTATGGCTGTTACTTTTAACTGCCGCCCGTTAGGCCAACAGTTATGGCGCTCTCTCCCCGCACTGAGTAGTCAGTAGTTGGCCATTAGAGTGACACCGACCGGCGGCAAGCCAGTGGGAGAGGGTACCACAACTTGTCATTAGACAAATTCAATTTAATGCTGGGATGGCAATGGCAACGGCAACGGCAACAGTAACAGCCACAGCCACAGGAACAGCAACAACCCACTGGCGACCACAACATTTTTCGGTGGGTGCTGCTGCCATACAAATTCTATTTAATTTGCCCTCGTCCTGGTCCTGGCGTTGGCGTCGGCGTTTGCCGTGGC